CTGCCTTTATGTCTGTGCATTGCAACGCACTCTTCAGTTCCACTCCCCACAATATTTCATGTATGTGTGTGTATGGACTTCTGACTTGTGTGCAACTTTGGCCTGTAATATCTTTGGTGTGCCCCCTAGAGAAAATGAAAGAGATGAAATAATAAGGCAAGGGCTATAAAAAGTGTCATGTTAAAAGCAAGCAAGAAGTGTTACTGTTAAATCTCCTGTTAAACAGGGATCTTCCATGAAGCTGTGCAAGTCATTCAAGCCCAGGCTCTCCCATTCTTCCTCTATTTTTCATGAGCTCCTGGAGAATGCAGAGGTTGTGAGGTGGACAAGTGCTTTGCTCTCACAGCTGTAACCAAAGCCTCCAGATACTGAATGCACAAACTTCTGCTGAACTGGAACTCCTCTGCTAAGGCATCCTGGACGTCTCAAGTTGTACACTGTAATTTCCCTGACCATTCTGACCTTAATCTCCCTGTGCCCCAGTTTCCTGTCTGATCCTGGTATGACGAGGTAAAATGCAGAAGATATTCAATGGTGCCTACAAAGCACCAGCAGATTAGTGATGAGCACCACACACACAAAAAATTAATCATGCCATCCTTGAGCACAGGTTGGCTGGGGTCCCAGGAAGGTGGCACAGGGCCATGTTGGATGAGAAGTGTAAAAGGGAGAGGCTTAGCCATTATCCTCAGTGCATCCCAGGTGCAGGACACACAGGGAGCCTTAATTCTCCTGATTCCTGTGTGCTTGACTCAGCTGAATGCTGTTGCTTCCCTTAAGTTCTTCATTCCTTTGCTTTGCACTGCCAAAGAGACTGAGGGACAGGACATTCATAACCTCCAGGTCTAGCTGTCCAGACTTAACTTGCCCAACACAACAGAGAATAAAGAATTCTCATCGGTGCCAAATTAGAATCCGGCGAGTGCTTTAGGTCTGAGGTTTCATCAATACTTTCCATCAATTTTTATACCAAAAGCAGCGAGTTTTGTCAAGTTTTTATTGATTTCCTGTCTGCCAAAGTGCTTTTTCAAATTTGTAATGGGGTAAGAAGCAAAACCCCTCAAAACAGGGAAGGAAAGAAACAGCAACTTTTTATTTTTAGGAAAGAAACAGCAATTTATTTCCTCGCCTTCTGTATTTTTTGTCACCTAAGTATTTTTTCTGGTATTATCAGCTGCTGCCATGAGCAGAGGTATTTCCTCCTTTTTGAAGGCTACTGTCTGAAGGCAATGCAGAAATTCAGATCTGATGCCATCCCCTCAGCAACCTTCAGACTCAGATTCCACCTTTATGGCGAGCAGGATGGTGGGCTCAGAGATGCTGCTTTGCTTCCTGCAGATTTCTGAGAAACCTCTCCACAGTTCTTGGGTAATGTTTCTGGAGTCAGTAAAAAAAACCCCATGCCTTATGGTCCTCCCTACTGAGGAGAAAAAATTGCAGTATGAGCTCCCCTGTTGTCCCACCCCAGTGTCTGACAACAGATGTTCTTCTTCACTCATGGAGTAAGATTTATTGTCTAATGCCTCTTAGGAGAAAAGTCTCTTCTGTCACATCCTTTGGTGTAGATGTTTTTGCCTTTAAGGAGAAAACTCTACCTGCTTTTCCACCATTAAATGTTAAGGATGTTAAAATGAAGGATGTTAAATCCTTCAAATGTCTGTCTCTGGCATTTGTTTTCCACTTGAGCTGTTGTTACAGGAATACATGCAGCTCATTGGAAATCAAATAGTGCTAATTTGGAGTTTATATGTACAAATCACATTGTTTATAACCAAAGCCCACGTTCATCTTGATGGTGGTTTTTAGAATGGGAAGTCTTCTGTGTGCACCTGGGCTAGCAATCAGCTCTGAGCCTTGCCAAGGGTATCCCATGACTCAGCTCTGCTCTGAACATTTTTAGCCCTACACTGAGTCTCACTGGGTCCCCAGGGCGGTCCCAGGGAACCTGACTCACCTTGTTACACACAGCACTGAGAGCAAAGGGGATGTGGAGCTGTTCAGCAGCTGGGATGTGCCAATGACTCAGGCTGTTGCATTGGATCAGTGCCTGACCTGTTTATGCTGCTCTGTGTCTCCCTCCTCTCCTAGGAGCCCTGGGAGTGATGATTCTTCAATTCATAAATTCACAGAAGACACATTTAAAGCTCTGTGCTGTGAATAAGAACCAGTTCTGAAATGTTTAATAGTCCCTGAAGGAAAATAACCCTCTCCTGTAGGTTTAGATTCCAAGGGTCAGCTCTTCACCACGTGCAGCTGAACTTGACAGTGTGTGCTGCCTCCCCTTGCTGTGGGAGCTCCGTGCTCGCCCACTGCTGGGTGGATTTGGGGTATTGTGCCTTTTGTAGAAATACCAGAAAAGAAGGAAGTCACCCTGAGCAGCTGCTTCAAATTTCAGAAGAAAGGAAATGGTGGAGCAGAAGAGGAAGGAATCGTGACTACTTTTACTCTGGTACAGCAATGTGCTCATTCCCTTTCTGCCTTTTTCCTTTTAGGAAAGGAAAACTCGTTTCTTCCCTTTAAGAAACAAAGTTTGCAAGCCAGGAAGAAAGAAGAACTAGGAATGCTCTGATCATCCATCAGGAATGTTGTTACATTTAGCTTAGACTACTTTTCTTTTTTCTTTTTAATGTTTTAACAATTAATTAATTCCTTAAAATTGAAACTGTTTTGACTTATCTATTCTGGAAAAAAAAAAAAAAGGCATTTTGAATCACAGTGGGTCTTCTGCTGCACCTGAGAACAGCAGGTTGAGACTGGGGTATTTTTGATGCAGAAAGAAGCTGCCTAGTTGTCTTTTTCCTACTTGCAATGACCTCAAACCTTTCTGACAGTTTCCTGCCTGGTGGTTCGATGCTGTTTCAAAGCACAATTCGAAGATTCCCAAAAGAAGACAAGAGTCTCTTTGCAGTTCCCAGTTTGCTTTCTTTGTCAGACTCTTCTTTTCAAGGTTATCTTTAGCCTCGTCCAGCATTCCAGGAAAAGAAGGAAGTGTCCTCTGGAGTTGTTTGCACCCTTAGTATAGCAACATCCCACCATGTCTTGCCATTTATATCTGACGTCTGTGACATTTAAAGATATGTTTTTGGAGCTTGTCCCTCTCCGTAACCTATTGTTTAATTAGTGCCACTGGAAATACAACAAGGGGACTTAAAAACGAGGGATCTGAAGTTGAGGAGATGGAGCAGGGGGGATGGAGTGACTCTTGAGCATGATGAAAAGTTTAGTGGAAAGGGTGAACAAGAAGGGGTCTGATGAAAAGGGGCATGGGAGGACAAGTAGCAAGTCTAGGTTTCAAAATGAAGTTGGGAAATGAGTAGAAAAATTCAGATTGGTTGGGAGGGAGGGAACTAGGGAGGAAGAGGTCCTGGCAGCACTGTCCAGACAGATCAGTCATACAGTATTTGCCTGTGCACGGCTGGGTTAGGTGACCTACAGCTCACTTGAAACAAACAAAGGTGTTGCCCTCCAGCATCCAATTACCAGGAGAAAAATTCCCCTGCACATCGGGGCAGCGCTCAGCAGGAGCATCTTTTAAACCACACCACTCTAAGGAAAGCCCTGAAGATGCCAGACCTGGGAGGAAAACAGGAATGTTTGACAAATCAGGTCTGGTTCACACCTCAAACTTGTTTTCTGTCAGCATTCCCAGTTGAGCTGCTCCTGATTTGCATTCGTTTAAATGAAAGGAAAACCAGACATTTTCCAGGAACAGCAGCAGTGGCACCCAGGAAAGTGCTGCTCTGGCAACAGCAGCAGCTCCTGGTGTGGCAGAGATTTTAAACTTTAAGCCGTGGAGTGCAGGTGACCTCAGTGTGCCTCTCTGGACCAAGACTCAAGCACAGGAAGGAGCAGGTGTTGCAAGCAGAATGAAAAGATAAATAAATTGATTTTTCCACAGTGGAATGATGTCCTCTGGGAGATGCACTGCTGCTTGTGCCAAGCAGGGCAGGAGCGCGCGGCACAGCGGGCTGTGCTCTGCAGGGCGTGCTCCTGCTCTGAACAAACACTGATTTTCCATGTCTTAGTTCCTTCTACCATCCTTGCTTGTCTGCAGCAGCATGCTAAATTAGCAGAGGCAGAAGCAGTAGGTCGAGAAATTCCTTCCAGGATTTTACTGTCCATAGCTTTAAAAAATGCGGTCCTAGTCAAGGAAGGGCTGGAGGGAGGAGAGCGGCTGGGTCAGGAACAGGGCAGAGCGTACTCGGGAGCTCGGGTGTGGCGGCTCCTGCACTGACTCACCTGCTCCTCTGGGGCTCCGGCGCGGCAGAGCCTGCTCCCTGAATGCGAGGAGAAAAGAGAAAATACGAGGAGAGAAACCCCAAATCCGCCTCCTGTTGCCTCGCACGGAGAGGGGGGAATCCTCCAAGAAATATCTTGATGCCTTCAGGCAAGGCTAGTGGCATTTAACACGTTACGTTGCACTTTGCGTTTATCTTTTGCGGGCAAAGCGCGGCCGCCTTCCCGTGTGCCACACAAGCATTCCCGAGGGTTTTCCCTCGAACCCAACCGCTGGGGGGGGGAACAACAAAAAACAACCCTACACAAGCTAAAGAACAACCACAAACAAAACAATGTCTAGATGCAAAACCTGAGTTTCGCTCAGGGCAGAACTTCGCAGGGGACCAGCGAAGGCGGGGTGGGGGGGCTGCTCGGGGGATGCTCGCGGACTCCGCGCGGTGCCTCCCGCATCCTCCCCATCCCGGGGCGTCCTTCCCCATCCCCATCCCCATCCCCATCCCCTGCCGTGTCCCCCCCGCATCCCCCCCATCCCCGGGCGTCCCCCGGGCCGGCGGGGCGGGCGCGCAGGCGCAGGGGGGGCGGGCGCGGCGCTGGGAGCGCGGAGCGCGGCGCGGCCCCAGACCGCGCTGCAGCCGCCGCGGGGGCGCCACTACCATGAGCGGCCGCGGCCGCCCCTGCGCGACTCACGGGCACCGGGCGCTGCCGCCGCCGCCGCCGCCGCCGGCCCCCCCCCGCCGCCGCCGCCGCCGCCGCTGCCGCCGCGCACCCCCGGCCCCCGAGCCCGGCGCTGCAGGATGCCGGGGGGCAAGAGAGGGCTGGTGGCACCGCAGAACACCTTCCTGGAGAACATCGTCCGGCGCTCCAGCGGTGAGAGATACCCCCGTCATGCGTCCATCCGCCCGTCCATCCATCCGTCCGTCCATCCCTCGGTCCCTCCGGCGTTGCCGCGCCGGTGGGTCCGTGCCAAAGCGGTGCCTTCAAGGAACGCGATCCGCTCGTCCCCTCCCGAGCATCCCCTCGCGGTCCTTGCCCTGTCTCCCCGCACTTCTCACATCGCAGTCACTACTGCCAGTTCCAACCTTCTTCTCTTTTATGATTATCTATTTATCCTCTTCGCTCATCCGGTCTTTAAATTTTTAAATATTTTTTTTCTTTATCTTTAGTTTTGTAATAATTAGGACTTGTAACTGTTTCCGTTCAGGGGGTTCAAAGTTTTTTTGCGATTCTGTGGCACTTTAAAGTCTGTGGCGAGGGTGCCGGGAAAGCGGTGAGGGAGTGCCTGTGGTTTGGATGATGGCAATCCTGTGGCTGGGCAAATGGGTTAAGAACTGTCTGCACTTGGTCATTTACGGCTCCTCTGTTAGGTGAATATTTACAGGGCTGGTTCAGGACTGTGGCACCCAGCTGTTCCTTGCTGCCGGAGTTAATTTCACCCTTTCTATTGCAAAGCAGTGATCGAGAGCACTGTACACAGCTCCATTAAAGTTACGATGTGTTTGCAGCTCTTTGGGTGTGCTGGTGTAGGTGCTGCTTTAGCCAAGTCTTGTGCTGGTTATGTTAATTTTTTAATGTAGTTTTTGCACTGGCACAGAGCTACTGAGACATAGGAGTGTTTGCACAAATGTAGGAAAGCTCAGCTTGGGTTTTGCTAAAAGATAACTCCTTGGTCAGCCCTGGTTTAGGGTGATGCTGCCAGGGGGAAGCATTGCTGTGCCAGCGTACACCTGGGCTCAGGAGTGGGAAAGGTGAGCAGAGCAGAGCGTAGAGAAGAATTACTGCATTTAGTATTAATCAAGACACCAATGGGCTTTGAAATTATGCTGAAAAATGTTCCATTCCACCTTTCCCTATTGCAGAGTGCTGGATGTACCTCTCAGTCACACCAGCATGGTCAGTTGCGCTGGCTTGGAGTGGATTTGGACAGCAGGTAGTGAACTGGTGATTCATGGATTTTCCTCATGAGCAGGAGTGGGATGAGGAGTTGGAATTTGTTTTAAAATGTTGTGTGTTAAAATGCCAGCTTTGTATTGAGCTGGTTTTGGGGGGCTTCCTCGTTGTTGTGTTGCCTCTGTCAGTTCTGTGGTCAGCAGCTGACTCCCTGTCAAGCCCTGTAGCTGCCTGATCTCCAAGAGCTGCTTTCCCACAATAGTGTATTTATTTCCCAGAATATTAAATGCAGGCTTAATTAATAGGCATTTATATAGCACTTTCCCTCTGACAATTTCAAAGTGTTGGGTGGAATTTAATTACACTTCACGGCTCCTTGTGGAAGAGGACATACAGAGGTTTTCTCAACCTGTTCATCAAATTGTGGTGTGAATGGGGGCTTGGGGCATCACAGCTGATTTCCCCAGGTCAGGCAGCATGTCAGTGGCTGGGCTGGGAGCATGGTTTGGCAATGCCATGGTTTTGTATCGTGCTCTAATTAAATCCCACATCCTCCTTGGTGAAAGCTCACTAAAGCTTTGAGACATCAAAAATTGGAAAAGCTCAGAAGGCTTTTCAACATTATATTTTAAAAGCATGTATCCCCTCCAGTTTTTAACCTGGTTTAATTTAGGAGCATAAATCATGCTGATCTGGTCATTCATTCTGCTTTTTCTGTGCCACTGATGATGTCTAAGCATGGTGTTCACTAGAGAGGTAAATCTTCTCTGTTGGACACAAAGAGGAAAGTAGATTGGGAATTTGTATTTAACTCATGTAAATTGTCAGAGTTGTGAGCTGAAACATGATTTAGTTCTTATTTTTGTCATTCAGGACATAGCCTTATTTATCCTTTATAGAAATAGTAATTTTCATTGGATTCAGTACTGTTTAATCCAAACTTAATAGTATACAGTGGAGCAAATCTGGTTCAAGTATCTCCTGCCAGTGCTCAGAAGAAGACAAGGATTTGGTCTGCTGGGTTTGTTTTTAGACTTGAATTCACCAAGTTCCAAGGGATTTTTCCTTGACAATTTGAGGAATGGGATGAAGGAAAGACTGATGATTGTTTTTTAAAATACATCTTCAGCATTCCCCCCGAAGCGTTTCTGTCACCGTTCCTGGTTCAGGAACATTCTCTTTTGAGATTTGTCACATTTATGCAATCTCATTGCACTTCTTGATCGCAAATCTTTTCTTAACAAGGTTTGTAGGTACAGGTAATAACTTCTATTAGGCTTTGGGTACCGCTGGAAAAAATCAGGCAGGTATTTCAGCAGATAGGCTCTTCTTCAGGTGAAATAGAAGCAATGGCTTCAAAATGAAGTGTTGATGGAGATAAATTACTCAGAGTTACCAGAGATGGATCCTAATAACAAAATTTATAGACAGAATTGTAATAATTTTAAAATGTGGAAAGTCAGGACTGGGAGCGAGTGTAGCGGGAACACGGTGTGCAGGCTTGGTGTGGTGTCTAGCCTGGTGTTAAAAGCAATCATATATTAAATTTTCAGCATTATTTGGGCACTTTCTCTTTAGGAATGTGGTGAACCCTTCTTTTTTACCTCATCTTTGGCTGCTCACCAGGTTAAAATTTTGGGAGAAGCCCTCACAGTATGCAGCCAAGAGCAAAGCACCAAGGAGCTGAGGAGAAAGGAACGGGGTGGCTGTGACCAGGGTGGACATAAAACAGTGACCAAGGCTCTTTGCCCTCTCTCTTGGAGAGTGGGAGAGCTGGGCTGCCCTGCTGGATGCCCTGCTGGATGCCCCTCTCCATGCCAGGGTGTTTGTGAAGGATGGAGCTGCTGTCAGAGCGATGGAGAGGTCCCACCGTGTTCCCCTGGGGGAACAACATCTCCTTTGGAGACAGCTTTACACCTTGGAGCTTGTGAAGTGTTTTAGGTCAGTGTTGAAGGTTGGTTTATGGGCAGCATCACAGGCTGCAGGTCCTTCCCAAAGCATGGGGGGTGCATGGCAGCCTCTGCTTTCAGGGTCTTTGCCCTCTCCACAGCTGAGCTCCACTTAAGGAGAGCCAAAGCCCACGGGGAGAGCGCTCTGTCCTTAGGGCTGCTGTGCCTGGTGAAAGGGACAAGCAGACCTGTCCTCAGGGTAATCTCAGTGCACTCCCTGCAATCTTTTTTTTTTCTTTTTTCTTTTAAAGCACAGTGAGAATACACTGAGGCTTATCTGAGGCTCACAAAGATTGATGTGATCTCGCTCCAGCCTTGGCTGTGCCCTAGATCTGAAGAGCACCAGGTGTTTTGCTGAGCTGAAAGGTGTTTTGTGAGAGCACTGGGCTAAATCACATTAAGGTGACTGCCTTTTACTGCCATTAGTATTTGGGATGTTTAATAAGGACCATCCTAAGGGCAATGTTCTCTCCCAAGATGTTCTCAGCAGGCTGTGCCTGTTGTTACTGATATTGTTGTTCACTTCTTCAGTGCATTCAGAGCTCTGAGTGATACTGACCCGTGCTCAGCACTGTGCAAGTGCAGAGGCTGCAGAATTGGGCAAGTCTCTAGATCAGGGCTGGGATTTATGGACCTGTCCCATGGGCAGAGTCATCCAGTGAGTTGAGACATTTAAGTTTTTTCTTCCCTTCACAAATTCTATCAGCAGAAAAATTAAGTATATGTTAATGACATAATTTGCTTTTATGGTAGAGCATGAATTTGTGGAAAGGGTGAGTCTGGGACTTGCAGCAATCTGCAATAAAGACTGCTAGCAGTTTGGAAGAGGGGATGAATTTAGTGAAAAACTGTATATAATCTTATCTATATGATAACATTCATCATTATTGGATATTGTTTCTGTTGCAATAACTCTTTGAAAGCTTCCTCATGAAAGTGGTCTTTCATAAATGCATTCTGACACTGGGATGAAATCTTAGCTCTCTAAGGCTTACATGGGAATTTCAGCATGAGTTTTAATGAAGCTAGCATTTTATTCCTGGCCTTTTTCAGCTTTATGCTGTGTTTCTAAAAAGCAATTCCTTCACACAGACCTTTATGCCCTGCTGGGTCCCTGTGACTGGTGGGTGGAAGGATCAGCCCTGTTCATAGGTGATTTTTGGAGTCAGGTTACCTGGAAAGGAGGAAAAAACAAGTGTCACATCTGTAGCAATAAGGCACCTTTTAAATTATTATTCCACTGGTATTACAGATAAAATATGTGTCTCTTCTGTTCTTACTAGCTGTGTAGGGTTCCTGTCTCCCAGGCAGGAATGTGGATGTGATGCATGTGGGCTTCTCTCCCCTACATTAAACCAAGCTGAATTTTCATCTGGCACCAATTAAATCACACATGTTGCACAGAGAAAGTTCTTTAAAGCAAAGTACTTCGAGTTTAGTGGATGTCTGTCACTTGGGATCCTCAGAGAAAAATGCAGGGCTCAGCAGTTCCCTAAATCCCTGCATGAAAGCTGGATGCACCGTGGGGTGAAAGTTTCCATCTCCAGTTCAGCTCAGGAGTTAAAGAAGGGATTTCCAAGGTGCTCATGTCATTGGGGTTTTCTTTGGCATTGGAAGGCACAGGGCTCCTTCTGCAGTTTCTGTGACTGCAGGGAGCTTGCTGACACATGAATCAATGCAAAGTGGATTTTTACACTGCCAAGCATTACTAGGTGACATATGTGAGGGGTTTGCAATTGCAGACACCCTGTTTTCCTTGCTTTTCAAGTGGGCTCGCTGAGCACAGACAGATTAAGCGTCTCTGTTTGCTGCTGCTGAAATTGGGGGAGTTCTGCATGGCTAAAGTGTTTATTTTTACTTTTAAAAAATAGTTATGGAAGCTCTGTGCCGTTTTACTAATTTAGAAACTTAAAGAATGCCATGTTAGTGAAAGGAAAAGCTAGATTTTCTTGAGATATGATCAGCTGCTTTGTGGTCTTATTTCTAATGATGGCTCTGCCCTTCCTTCCTTCCTTCCTTCCTTCCTTCCTT